AACACAATGCATCTCTTACACACACTCAACGCACCCCTTACAGAAACACACTTTGCATCCCTTATGCATACAAACACAGATTCACACAATGCATCCCTTAAACGCAACAAGAAACACACAATACATCCCTTATACACAAACACTCACTGCTTTCTATCCCTTACATAAAAACACACTGCTTCCACTACACACAAACACACTGCATCACCTACACACTACATTCCATAAGCACACACATTAGATCCTCTACAGTAACACATAACACATCCCCTACACACTCCACTCCCTGTGAGCGAACTCATGGGTGGAACATGTAGGTGGACTTATGGGTGGGCTTTATGGGCATACTCACTGTCAGACCCTGGGACCCAGACCTTGAGCTATGTAAGAGGCCCCAAAAAATGGAGCTGCTTCGCGTTCTCCCAGAACATTTAATTTTGTGACCACAGTTACAAACAGCCTCCAGAGATCCTGTTCTACACCAGACCAGTGGAGCCAGACTGCAGCCAGAGCCCATCACCATCCTCATCTGATTGTAAGTAGGCAATCTAGTATATTATTAGTGACACTAATCTCTAATTTATCTCACATTAAATGGACACTATAGTCCCCAGAACCACTACAGCTTAATACAGTTGTTCTGGTGTCTATAGTTTGTCCTTGCAGGCTTTTTAATGTAAACACACACTGTGTGCAGCACTGGCATTAGTTCATATGGCAGATCATATGGGTGGGGCATTGCGATGTCCCTGGAGGGGTGTGTGTGTGTGGGGGCGGCAAATCTTTATTTTGCCTAGGGTGGCAAAAATCCTTGCACCGGCCCTGGGTGGTAGTCTTTTCATTATAGGCTGTGTTGACTCCTCTCCAAACACAGTGCTTATGGTTGTGACCATAAAGCTCTATTTTGTTCTTGTCACTCCAAATTGCAGTGTACCAGAAACTGTGAGGTATGTCTAGGTGTTGCCGGGCATATTGTAACCAGGATTTATTGTGGAATTAGTGCAGTAAAGACTTCTTTCTGGCAACTCGACCATGCAGCTAATTTTTGTTCAAGTATCGTCTATATTGTGCTCCTTGTAACAACCAAACTGTCTTTTCCCAGAGAAGCCTGCATTTCTCCTGAGGTTACCTGTGGGTTCTGCTTTGTATCCCAAACAATTCTTCTGACAGTTGTGTCTGAAATCTCAAGAGATCCCTGGATTTTCCACTTCTGAATAAGTGATTGAACAGTACTGACTGGCCTTTTCAAGGCTTTGGATATGTTTTTATATTATTTTCCATCTTCATTAAATCCCATGACCTAGTTACACAGGTCTTTTGACAGTTCTTTTCTGCTCCCCATGGCTCAAGATCTAGCATGTTTAGTGCTAACAAACTCATTGAATATTTATACACAGACACTAATTGCAATTTAAAAGCCACAAGTGTGGGAAATTAACCTTTAACCCTTTAAGGACACAACTTCTGGAATAAAAGGGAATCATGATGGAATATTTCCGTCATGTGTCCTTAAGGGGTTAATTATCATTTTAACCTGTGTGTTAACTTGTGTGTCGGTAAAAACAAAACACAAAAAAACATTCAAGGATATGTAAACTTTTGATCAGGACCATTTGGGTGATTTCTGTTAACATTATAATTTAAAAAGGAGCTAAACAACTATGTTATAATAAATGGCTTCACCATCCTTTAATAAAATACATTTGAATGCATGCTCAGTCATAGTTTCAAAATCAATGCCAAAATTTCATAATTTCTGCCAGGGTATACAAACCTTTGAGCACAACTGTAGCTATTTTGGAAATACAGATTAGAAGGATAATTTGTGAAAAGTTGTGCTCTTAAAAATGTCTGCAGCTCCTTTAAAGTTGAGTTTGTAGGCTAAGGCAAGTAGGAATGAGAGAAGTACAACAGCAAAATAGCTTTTCAGTTTTGCTCATGATTGGAAAAAGAAGAGGCAAAAAGACAATACTTAGAAATGACAAGACAATTACACACACCAAGGACACTGATAACGGACATATTATTCCTGTTATCACTTTATCATTGATGACACTTACACACAATGAAGTGAAAGCATTGGTTAAGGGGCTAAACTATGCTCTAGAAAGCAATTTATATTTATTTAATATGCAGTTAGGTATAAATAAATATGTGTGTTTGTTGGGACTGAAAAAACATTTTGCTTTGATTGAATGAGAGAATATTGAAAATAATTAAAAGTTTGATTATGAATTACATTAGGACATTATAGAATTAAAGGTAGACAACAAATGCATCTGGGATCAAGAGATCTATGTGCTGTTATGGACCTAGCACCCCTAGTGGAGAATGATGTAGAAACTAGCGAGGAACAGAAAAATCCATGTGGTAGTTTTACATTGAAGTAAGAGTCATATTTTTATCTCCCCAGCGCATTGGTCTGTCCATACATAGACAGGTCCATATATAGAATGATATGTATCAAAAAGTGAAAAGTGATCACTTTAGCCATTCTGAAAGGTTGGTATTGAAAACATTAGAAAACGATGACTCTATTGTCATAAAAAAAAAAAAGCAGATGGAGGGGCAGAGCTTAACTGCCAAAGCGATTGGTCAAATGATAAGGAGCGCCAGCAATCTGCACTAGAAATCTGCCTATATTGCATTCATCCACACTCTCCTCATATATCGGGGGATCCTCTTAACCAGCCTAACCTCCATGGGATGCCAAACGAAAAAGAAAAAAACAAGCAAACCCTGTGTGAGGCTCACGTTAAGCGATTTCTGGTGACAAGCACATGGCGCAGATATGACCATGAAGGCCTGCCTCTCTGGTGACTGCTCCAACTTCTCGAATGACATATCCTTAGAAGCAGAGGGCTACTAGCTCCACAGCAGAGCTCAGCGATGCCACGACAGAACCTGCCGGGATCAGACTCATCCCCAGTAACGAAGTCTGTACTGCAGGTTCTACTGGCAGATCGCCAAACAACCATACAGGCCAATGAAGCTATGATCCACAGGGACCTGAAAGGCCTAATGGGCCATTTTTGGAAAGCTGGAGGGTGCATAACTAAGCACACACAACAAATAGTTGCTCCAGCAAGCAGTGCAGGAGCTGAAACCGCAAAATCACATTTATGAACATTGCTTTGCAGCCCAGGAGGATGACAGGCACCTGAATAGTCTTAAGGGGTGAGGAGTGTCTGTCACAATACCTGTCCCTTGTGACACCATGTGATCGTATAAATTGTGTATTTTGTGAGTTCTGATGCACACACATTTATCCCTAACTTTATGGTGCCTTATTATGACATTATATATAATGTGGACCTATCCCATTAGTCTCCTTCTTTAGTGTCAGCCCATGTGTCACTCTTTGATGATGTGTACAGGCTTGTGATATCACAGTCCTCTACCATGACCAATCACTACCCATTATAGGGTATATATATTTACTGATTGTCCTTGTTTCATTGCCCTGTCAAGGTTCTTGTTACCTGAGAGTGTGTTTATACTGTGTATTGGATTTCCTGTTCTCTGACCTTGGCCTGTTTAACTGTTCTTGCTCTCTGTTATCCTGATCTTGGCCTGGCTTTCGATTCTGTGTATTTCTGTAATCCTGACATCTGCTTGTTTCTCATTTATTCTCTGTCTGCTTGCAGAAATTTCATATATCTGTCACAGGTACTAACCCGGCCACTCTAAGGACTGATACGTGTACCTTTACTGTTACCTTTAGGTCTGCATTTTAGGGTAACTCTATTCCTGACAGTTTCTGAGGATGTCCCAGAGGCTGAATTGTCGCACTTCATGAGGTGCTTATTGGGGGCCTTGCTGTTGGTGTCCCCAGACTGGCCAGAGCTCTGATTAATGCTCCAAGAGATCTAGTGGCCCACTTCAGAGTGGGAACTCACCTTCTACACAGATTTTTCTGGTGGTACATTGGCTTGGCGGAGGTCCCTTAGACCATTCACTTCACTCCTGCAACAGCATGAGATCTGCTATCAGTGGCGCTTATCCTGCACACTCGTTGCTCTTCAAGGAGACACTAAGCATCTTGTACATGACCTCCAGGAATCAATTTCTCTCCTGCAGTCTTTGGGACTGCCACCCGACTCCCTAAACCAGCATGGGCTGACACCGGCAGCGCAGTCATCACAATCATGGGACCCAGTGTGGATAACCCCTTCCATTCATATGCTGCAGACACTACATGCACCTCTATTGGGTACAGTACCCTTCATGGAACTGGGGACTCCTAGGGTATCAGATGTGCCCTATTTCTCTTGTTATTGCTTATTCAAAAGCTGATATTTAATTTGCTGTGTCTTTGGTTACAGATAAATTACTTACCTTCCCTATGAACCAGCTGGTTACAGAACCATATCTATCCCCACCCGCCACGGGACTCTTTAGTTACACATAGAGCCTCAGGCTGGAGGAATAAAAGTATATGGGTTGTTATTCTATAGCATGCTTATTCAGAGGTTATGTTTGTTATGTTCATGTTAGCATTAACAATATACCTTCATTAACTAAATTTTATAGCGGACAGGTTGGCTCCACTGCATACCCTATACAGACAGTACCTAGGTCTCCAATGTATCATAATTTCTTAGGAGAGTAAGGCATGTTCCTCTACGACTATGCTTCCTGTATTGTGTATCTGTTGTTACTACAAAAAAAAAGCTGTTCCATGGTACATTATGCTTATTCGACTACCACTTCTGTACATTTCAATGTTCACACTTCTGTATTAACTGCTATGTATTTATATGTGATAAAGCTTGTCCATGGACCGGCACCAAAATAAAGAATGTAAAAAAACAACAAATAGACGTGATACAGGTGTGGTTTTAGATGCAGAATTTTATGTCATTGATGCCATATATATTTTTTTAATTATTATCTTTGTCCATAAGATATATACATTTAAAAAGACAATAAAGATATATAAAGTGTGTTTACAATCCGCATTACTATCAACCTCTACAGAGGGGGCGGGGTTTCCGGCAGAAACGGAGAGGAAGCGTGTGGCTGATGCAGGCATGTAGACGCTGCATGTAGCTACCCCCCGTATCGGCAAATAAGCCAGCAAAGCTACGAGATGCCCAGTAATTTTTTTCTTTAGTCTGACAAGCAAGCAACAGCCAGCAACAGCCAGTCTGAGCTATCGGAGGCTATCTGAGGTGTTTGACGTGCTCAGTGTAATGGAGTGTAACGGAGCCTTACAAACTGCCTGGACTTCTGCTTCTGCTTAAGCTCGTGCCACAGCCTGATTACAGCCTGACAGCCTGATTATTCAAGGTAACGGAGAGCTATCCCAGAATCACTTTGAGGAGGGTAAAAGAGAAGGGAGCAGGAGCAGGAGACTGATACATAGCAGTGCTTCATTTAAGGCTAAGTGCACAAAGTAAGGCAAATAATCAAAGCAAGCAAGCAGTTCAATATTTATTTATTTATTTATTTTGTCTTAAAATGCTTCAGTGGGATAACAAATGATCTAAAGAGGCCCAAAGGCGAAATAGATGACTTAGAGTGAAACAAAGTATATAAAATGAACTAAAGCGGCACAGAGTAAAAAATAAACGATACAGAGTGATACAAAGAGAGGCAAAGAGACGCAGAGTGATACAAGTGATACAAATTGATCTAAAGAGATAAAGAGATACAAAGCATTTCAAATTGCCTCTAAGTAAACGCAAAGAGTTTTTAAAGCAACAGGAAGGATTTAAGAGCTCTAAAGTGCAAGTGCTTTAAATGGTTAATAAGAGCCTCTGAACGTTGCAAGGCATTGCAAAGCTTTGTAAATTGCTCCAAATTGTTTTAAGACTGTGGGAAAGATTTAAAGCAAATAAATAAGTGATTTAAAAGGCGATCCAAATTGCAGCTGAAGCAATGATAAAGTGATATAAAGGAGACAGAGCAGAGATTGAGCAACATAAAATTATTTGAAGAAAAAAAAGGGACAAAAAAAAAAAAAACGCTCTGAGGGGATGTGAAGAGATTGAGGAGAGGAAAGGAGGGAACAGTGAATTAAACTTATTAAATTAGAAGTACATATTACAGTGAAGCAGTACAAGATATCAAGAACAAGAAAAGGAGAAGAAAGAGGAAAGAGAAAAGAGAAAGAAAGAAGGGAAAGGAAGAGGAAAAAAAAAAGTCAAATATATCTCCTCCCCCTTTTTTAGCGCCTCAACACTGTATCAACTTATAAAATTTAATACAGTCTCTCAGCACTACCTACACGGACACCAGATGGCGCCGCCGAAGGCACAAAGACAACATGAGTTCTTTAAAACAAATAAGAAAGACAGAGGAAGAACAGAGCGGGGTGCAGGAGGCAGTGCGAGATCTCCCTCATATCACTCTGAAGCAGGCTGTGATACAGATTCTACACAAATCTTAGGAGAAAAAGATCTCTCCTTGTCAGAAAAAAGATTGGCAGACATGCTCTCCACCCTGAGAACATCATTACAGCTAGATTTTAGAAAAATATCGGAAGAAATACGAAAGGAAGTCCATGAGTTGGGAACAAGGACATCCGCTCTGGAAGAAAAAATGGATGAGATCTGCGAGAACAACAACAAAATGAGGGAAAAATTTATTAAAATGGAAGAGGATTTTCAAAAACTCCAGGGAAAAATGGCGGATATAGAGGATAGGTCCAGACGCAATAATATTCGCGTTAGGGGTGTGCCTGAAACAGTCCAGGGGCCAGATATACCACCTTATTTAGTCGAACTGTTCAAGGCAATAGCTCCCACTCTTACTACAGAAGATTTGCGGTTTGATAGATCACATAGGGTGCCAAAGCCTAAAATTTTAACTACTGAAGTTCCCAGAGACATTGTGGTGAGGCTACATTATTTCAGTACAAAAGAGATGATCTTATCCACCCAAAGAAGGGTTACAACAATGTCGCCAGCATTCGCGCATATCTCACTGTTTGCGGACTTATCTGCTATGACTATAGCAAGAAGAAGAGATTTTCAAAGAGTTACTAAATATTTAAGAGATAACAACGTGAATTATAGATGGGGATTCCCAACTAAATTGCTGATTTGGAGAAACGGATCGATGACTAAGATAGAAGACCCTGAAGAAGGACTACAAATATTACATAAATGGGGTCTAATAGGAACTCCTTCAGAAAAGGTGGACAGTTCACATGTGAGAGAAATGCTACCAGAATGGACGGCAGTACGTAAGGGAAAATAGCTGATCATATAATGCAAAGAATAGAAGTGGAGACAGCTTATTAATTTATGCTTGAACTGAAAAATATATAAAAGATTGAATTTAATTGAGGCAAAACAGTCTTGATGCAAAATTGTATACAATGTAAAATGGTGGCAAGGGAAGGCATTAGAAGCTCGGAAGATAAAAAGGAGGATAGGAGTTAGCAAGACTCCATTGTATTGTATTCTACTATACTTAATGATTTACTCTTTCAAAGTTGGGTCGGTGGGATGGAGGGGAGGGCTGTTGGAGAGGAGGGGATTTGTGTATGCATGTGTGTATGTATGTATATATGTATGTGTGTGTATATATATATATATATATATATATATATATATATGTGTGTGTGTGTGAGGATATATTATTTTATTTATTTTTTTATGTAGGTTTTTCCTCTTCATCCTCCTTCCCTCTACCCCCTCCCCCCCTTGATTCCTCTGACTGCTCAGATCCCTCTGATCCCATCCCAAGAGGAGGTGGAGGAGAATTTAAAGCAAAGATAAAATTATATATATATATATTATTTTTTATTTTTTTTTTGTAATTATGCTACAGTTTTAAAAAACCAGGCAGTGGTATATAAATATATAAGCAGGATATGGCTTGTCACCCGCATTTACATTTTCAATCACCCCCTCAATTTGGTGGCAATACCCTAAGGGGGTTAATTAACCACCAATGCTTTATGTTGCAGGGCAGACCTGCAAGATTAAGACGATTTGTCTAACTTTTTCTTTTTTTTTTAAATATATAGATTTTTGTTGTTGTTGTTTTGCTTCAGGTACCTATGAACATATGAGACTTTTCTATATCAGTAATTTCTTAATTATGTATGCAAATAAGATCAAAACTAAATTACAGGATCTCTTATGGTTAAACAGAGTAAATATAAAGATTATAGCGAACAATAGAGTTAGGAATGAGGTCTAATAGTGTTAAAATATGGCTCACTACTTTAATATCCTAACATTTAATGTGAATGGCCTTAATACGCCCCATAAAAGGAGATTGTTGTTCCAGCAACTGCATAAATCACAGGCGGCAGTTGCGTGTTTGCAGGAAACACACTTTAGTACTCAGAGACCCCCAGCTCTTACCTCGCCTAGATATCCGCTTAGTTATCATGCATATGCCCAAAATAAAACAAAGGGAGTGAGTACGCTGTTTCATGCAGACTGGCCATTTAAATGTGATGGCGAATATAAAGATAAGGAAGGCAGATTACTTATTCTGGCGGGTTCCTTAGGTGAGGAAAAAGTAACAATAGCAAACATATATACACCAAATAATAATCAAATAAGCTTTTTACAGAAAGCGATAAGACGCATTGAGGAATATAAACAAGGCAAATTATTTATGTGTGGTGATTATAACTGCACGTTGGATCCAGAGTTTGATGTTTCAGGAGATGAGACACCAACCATGAGAAAGGCTGCTTTAAGTGCCAGATTAGCAAAATTAATGATAACTCACAGTCTATATGATACTTGGAGGGCTAAATACCCTCAATTTAGAGATTATACGTTTTATTCAGCGGCACATTTAAATTACTCAAGCATAGATATGTGTTTGACAGATGCATCTACACTCCAATCTCTAGTAAAGGTAACCGTAGATCCAATAACATGGTCAGACCACGGCCCAGTATGTTCCATATTTGACACTGCATATCAGGCAAGAGGCAAGGGTTCATGGCGCTTGAACGAAGCATTATTAGATAATAAAATGGGAGAAATAGAGATTAGGAATACAATCAATCAGTTTTTCAAAGAAAACACTAATCATGATACATCTATAGCAGTTACATGGTTAGCTCATAAGGCTACAGTGAGGGGAATACTTATAAAACAAGGTGCAAGGGCAAAACAAAAATTTGGGGAGGAAAAGGAAAAACTCTTTAAATCTATAGGAGAAATAGAGAAACAATATAAACAAACTTTAAATAATTGTCTACGAAATAAACTCTTTAAACGTAAAAAACAACTAGAAAATTTTGAATTGAAGGTAATGGAACGTAATTTGAGAAAATCCAAATTTAAATATTATACACAGGGTAATAAAGCGGGCAAATTATTGGCATCTCAAATTAAACAGAAGCTAACACAATCAAAAATTCCATATTTGGTAAACCTAAAAGGTGCAAAACTGATAGATCCAAATCAAATTGTTAATGAGTTAGCATTATATTATGAATATCTATATAATTTGAAGGAGGATTCAAATACAACCCAACCTACATTAAATATGATTTCCACTTTTCTAAGAGATGTTGAACTACCCTGCGTGACTCGGGAAGAGGCGGAGATCTTGAACAAACCTTTTACAGAGGAGGAGGTCTGGGAAGCTATAAAAACAACTTCAAAACATAAAGCACCAGGCCCAGACGGGTTTTCTAATTATTATTATTTTAAATTTGCAAAGGAACTGATCCCAAATCTAACAATACTTTTTAACAGCATTTTAGATTCAGGTGAGGTACATCCGGAAATGCTGGAAGCTATTATAATAACACTACCAAAACCAGGAAAGCCACCGACCAGCTGCGTTAATCTAAGACCTATATCTTTACTTAATGTAGACATAAAATTATTTGCAAAAGCAATGGCACTAAGACTGAAACCACTACTGCCCAAATTGATAGGGGCAGAACAAGCAGGCTTTGTGCCAGGCAGACAGGTGGGGGATAATACCCGTAGATTTATAGATGTACTGGAAATAATGAAAAGACAGAAAACTGAGGGATTATTGCTGGCACTTGATGCGGAAAAGGCGTTTGATTGCCTACACTGGCAATACATGGAGAAGGTGCTAGATAAATTTCAACTCCCAAACAAATTTAAACAAGGCATGCTCTCATTATATACAAATCCAATGGCTAGAGTTATTAATTCAGGTTTTGTGTCTCGTAAATTGCACCTATCTAATGGAACAAGACAGGGATGTCCCCTCTCTCCATTGATTTTCATTATGACCCTTGAACCCCTAGTACATAAGATAAATAAACAAGTTCAAATAACAGGGTTAAATACTCACATAGGACCTCAAAAAGTGGCTTTATTTGCGGACGATGTCCTGATAATACTAACAAATCCAGATAAAACAATAATGCCGCTGATGGATTTATTGAAGGAATATGGTACAGTGTCATATTATAAAAATAATATTACTAAAACTCAAGCTTTACCTATTAATATGCAAGAGTCAACTATTCGAAAGCTGAAAGATGAATACCCATTCGAATGGAGAAATAAATCTATAAAATATCTTGGTATTCATCTTTCAGTTTCAAAACAGGAAATGATAAAAAATTACCATAGCAAATTATTAAGAGAAGTACAAGATACACTAAAACACTGGGACAAGAGCACCAGATCATGGGTGGGACGGATCAATTCTGTTAAAATGTGTATAGTACCACAGATTTTATTTCTTTTTAGATCCATAATGATCCCCAAATCAATTATAACAAATTTTCAAAAAACAATAAATGCTCATATTTGGAAACGCAAACCCCCAAGAATATCACTGAATACAATGAGTTGCAAAATGACAGAGGGAGGTATGGGAGTACCGCACATTCAAAAATATTATATAGCTTCCATACTGGCACAAACAGTAGCACTAATAGATACATCTAGTATACCCCTATGGCATGTATTAGAACAATCCATTGTCCCACAATATGAGATATTGGATCTCATATGGACAACACATCGCGCTCATCTTAGAAATTATAATTTCCTATCCACAACACAAATAGCTCTGAGGTTGTGGAGTTACTGGGCCCCTAAACTTCTGGGGAAAGGCAATTATCTTTACTATGGAACTCTGCAAAGTTTAACTTATTACACAAAAGAGTTAAATATAACAACATGGAGAAAGAAAGGATTAACAAAAACGCGTCATCTAATAGCAGGCTCAGCTATACATCAATTTCCAGATATACAAATTAAATACGATCTTCACAACAGGGAACTCTATACATATCTCAGAGTGAAACACATTTTAATGAAACTTAAGTGAAGGAGGTGGAAAATTATAGGGTGAATGACTTTGGAAGGCTATGCTTGGGGAGACGACCCCAAGATAAACCTCTATCAATAAGCTACAGAGGAATATTAAATTTAACAAAACCAGATAAATTGCCTTTCATGTTAAATTGGGAGAAGGAGCTAAACAACGAGTGGGAGCCCTTTAAATGGTATAGGGCTATGAGATCAACTAAGGCTGCCACACATAATATACAACACATAGAAGCAACATACAAAATGTGGCTACGGTGGTACATGACGCCACAAAAACTGGCGCAAATATATCCAGAGAATGTGGGGACATGTTGGAGATGTGGGGAAATGGAAGGATCTATGACTCATATATTTTGGCAGTGTAAAAAAATTATTGATGTATGGAAACACATACAACAATTAATTTTTAAAGTTACAAACACATTGATACCCCTGCAACCAGAAATATTCCTACTACACATTATGCCAGAGAGAATATTGCCACAAGAAAAAGTGTTAATTATACATATTTTGATGGCTACAAAAAATGCTATAGCAAGTTTATGGAAAACAAAACAGGTACCATCATTAAGTATAATAAGAGAAAAGATCTCTACTACTAAAATTTATGAGGAAATGGCATATAGGCTAAAAGGCAAACAACACATTTATGAAAAAAATTGGGTGAGGTGGAAATGAAATGAGAGGAAATTAAAAGAAAATAAGGGGAATGAAACAAGCAAAATAGTCTCATTAATACAGACGGTAAATAAAATTTAGGTGGTACAAAACAAATGAAGGAAGAGGGAAGGGAAGAGAGACGAGGGAAAGAGAACGAGAACAGGAAAAAACAAAACAAACAAAAAAAACAGATTGATATAGATGTTTGATATGGAATTCTATAAATTGAATAAAATTGGAAATGTAGACTTATAAAAGGAAGAATTACTATAATTGTACTTTTTTATTTCTAATTTATATATTTATCTCTATATATATATATATTTTTTTCTTTCTTTTCTTTTTCTTCTTTAGAGAGGGAGGGATAAAAATTTACTTTATACATATCCTGATTCTTGTAATAAATTATCTCAGAGGGAAAAGGAGAAAGAAAAGAAAAAGAAAGGGAGAAAGGAGAAAAAGAGAAAGGAAATGTTTATTGTAAAAAATAATTTAGTGAAAAGATATAAAAAGCTGTGTTACTGAAGCCGAAAATAAGTTAGAAGAGATTGTAAAAGATAGTAATAGAATATCTTGAATTGTGAATGGTATCTCTCTATTTCTGTATATAATTTTTTTTATTTTTTTTATTTCTATTTTTATTTTTACTAATTTTTAAAAAAAAAAAATTTTTATTTTTTTTGTTATACTGATGCACAGTGTTGTGTTTTCTCTGTAATTTGAAAAAGTGAAATAAAGATTTAAACATGAAAAAAAATTACTATCAACCTAGTAGACTTATTACATACAGTGATCTATAATGCTAAATGTAAATATCACCATACACATACATCTAAACAAGCAAAAGAAAAAAAAATCCTAGTTTTCTGTTTCTGAAACACCGCTGGTCTTTCGCATAGTTAAAATGGCCACCGCCTCGTGGTCAACATACGAACGACGACCACCCTGTATTTGGTTTTAATTGAGAAGTGTCTGTGGTTAACTGCAACATTCTAATTGGGATCAATAGGTTAACCAGCAGCACACTTCTCTTCTGGGTGGCCGTTTTCTGTTTCTTTACTTCCGTAACTTTTTAATCCAGCTATTTCTCTCTTTCTCTTACATGGTTCTATGACTTGTTCCATTACTTCACATATCAGTAAAGGCACCTTAGATTTCCTTTCAAATATTTTTTTTTAGATTAGATTTCCTTAGATTTCCATTCTCTAGCAATTGTACATTTAGCAGCTTTTATTAAGTGTTTTATAAACCTGTGCCTATGTTACGGTACCTCCAGTAATAAATGTACAAACCGCCGTTTAGTGAATGCTCCCCGTTCGCAATAATGTGGTCTGGTAGTGAATGCAGTATAACCATGCGAACCGCCAGCCAGGGAACACTCCAAACTCCCGAACGGTACCTGTACGGCTCCTTCCCTTCACGAGCTCCAAAGACACGAATTGCCAATAGTAGCCGAACGCCAATATCTCCTAAGCGGCAAATAATTCCAATAAGCAGTCTCTAGTCGCCGGTAATAAAATCCCCCCAATAACGAGACCAAGCTCCGCTTTGAGGGTAAAACATGAACTGAGTTTACTGTGGGCTACCTGCCCGTATTTATGCAGGTCTCCCACTTGGTGGACACTCCCCTAGGGGACCAAATGGGAGACTGGAATAACAGAAGGACATGGGGACATTTTAGACATACAACCCCACAATATTCCCAGCATGCATCACAGTTTCCTCCCCTCTGCTCGGGAGATAATTGAGAAGTCATTCAATTATCTCCCAGAGCAGAGGCAAATCGCCATTTTAAATACAAGTTACAAAACACATTAAAATACATAACTTTATAACTGCCGAACGTATTGCATTCGTATAACACATCCCCAGATAGCCTGGATCTGAGTGCATATTATTGGCGAATAGCGCTCAGTTCCCATACGCACAGTTCAATCACCATGGAGTCAAAGTCTATTACAGTTCTTCGGTATGCGATTGACTCCATGGGAAGGCTAACTGAGGTAAGTCCATTCGTGCCTTTAAACCTCTCGAACGGCCGTTATTCGCCTACTTTTGTCGATTGAGAAGGGGAGGTCGACGGCTTCAGCGGTGTTCGGTTGAAAAAGTGTCCGTCTTTAGTTCCATAAAATAACCGTCGAACACCGCTGGTCTTTCGCATAGTTAAAATGGCCACCGCCTCGTGGTAAACATACGAATGACGACCACCCTGTATTTGGTTTTAATTGAGAAGTGTCTGTGGTTAACTGCAACATTCTAATTGGGATCAATAGGTTAACCAGCAGCACACTTCTCTTCTGGGTGGCTGTCCGTTCGGTAGTTCAACAAATAAAAGACATTCCCTTAAACAAAGCATACAAATGGGGAAATTCATACAAACGGCAAAACAGACGAACACAGCAATTCCAGTTCATACAGATGGGTCTGTCACACGGCTCCCCCCTTGTGGAACACTCCGGCAGACCCGGCTTGACCCTTTGGCGGGTCAACTTGGGGATGACCGGACTGGGAAGGAGTAGGAACGTCTGTTTGCCGGGATAACCCATCCGTATTCCCATTCTGCTTATCGGGTCGGTAGCTGATGGTGAAGTTGTAGGGCTGCAGTGCCAAACTCCACCTCAGCAGTCTGCCATTGTCTCCTGAGACCCGGTTAAGCCAGACAAGGGGATTGTGGTCTGTGATAAGGGAAAACTCCTGCCCGTACAAATAAGGGCTCAACTTCTTCAGTGCCCAGACCAGGGCTACACACTCCTTCTCCACTGCCGCATAACTCACTTCCCGAGGTAGTAACTTTCTGCTTAAGTATGCGACAGGGTGCTCTCCTTCATCTTCCCCGACCTGGCTCAGCACAGCCCCCAGTCCATACATGGAAGCATCTGTATGAACAAGAAAACGTTTGTTAGGGACTGGGGCAGCCAGGACAGGGGCATTCACAAGAGCTTGCTTCAATGCCTGAAACGCGGCTTCACAAGCTGGAGACCACAGGACCTGCTTAGGTAAATTTTTCTTAGTCAGGTCAGTCAAGGGCTTGGCAACCGTACTGTAGTCGGGGACAAAACATCGGTAATACCCTGCCGTCCCCAGGAAGGCCAGCACTTGGGTTTTGGTGATAGGTGTGGGCCAGTTAGCTACAGCCTCTACCTTGGCTGGCTCTGGTCGCTGGCTCCCACATCCTACCCTGTGACCCAAGTACTGCACTTCTGCCATGCCTAAATGGCACTTGTCTGGTTTCAAGGACAGGCCTGTGGCCCGAATCTTGTCCAGCACCACCCCCACGTGTACTTGGTGTTCTTCCCAGGACTCACTGTAGACCGCAATGTCATCCAGGTATGCACATGCAAATTCCTGGAAGCCATCGAGGAGCCTATCCACCATACGCTGGAAGGTAGCCGGAGTATTCTTCATCCCAAATGGCATGACCTTAAACTGGTACAGGCCAAATGGAGTGACGAATGCCGACTTAGGGATAGCATCCTCGGCCAGGGGAATCTGCCAATAACCTTTACACAGGTCAATGGTGGTCAGATAGCGCCCCCGGCAATGCGGTCTAATAACTCGTCTACCCGGGGCATCGGGTAGGCGTCAGTGGTGGTCCGCTCGTTGAGTCGCCTGTAGTCCACACAGAACCGGGTGGTCCCATCCTTCTTAGGCACTAGGACTACAGGGGAGGCCCAAGGGCTGTCTGAGTGCTCGATAACCTCCAGCCTGGTCATCTCCTGTATCTCCTTCCGCATTCCTTCTCGGACTGCTTCAGGGATACGGTATGGGGGTTGTCGTAGGGGGTTCTGTCTGGGTGTCTCGACCTTGTGCACAGCTAGGGTAGTGTACCCGGGTTCTTGGGAGAACGTCGCCTGCTTCTCCCACAGCAGCTATCTTGCCTGTACCTTCTCTGCAGGGTTCAACCGGTCCCCTAGCTGTACAAGACTAGTTAGGTCAGTCTGGGGATCCTTCTCTAATAAGTCGGGTAAGGGTAAATTCTCGGGGTCATCAGTAGCTGGGGCACATACTGCCGCAACATCCTCTGGTCTCTCCTGATACTCCTTTAGCATGTTCACATGAAAGGATCGCTGAATCCTTTCATCCGCACAGCTGGCTATAAGATATATCACATATCGCTATATCACATACCTTTATACGGGCCCTGCCAAGATGCTTGCATCTTGTTAGTCTTCACAGGCTTGAGGACCAGAACCTTCTGCCCTACCTGGAAGACCCGCTGTCGGGCACCCCGATCGGACCACCTCTTCTGTCTCCCCTGGGCCGCCTGGAGATTCTCCCTTACCATCAGGGATAGTTTCTCCATGCGGTCCCGGAGTTCCAGGACATGTCTGTCCCCCCTCCTGTCTCTCCCTCCCCCCTCTGTGTCTCTGTTTTGCTCAGTTTCTGTCCCTGCTAACTCAAGTGAGAAGTGACTGTTGTTTTTGGTGTTCTCCGTTCCCTCCTCCTCATTGTATCTATCGTGCCTTATTTAACCCCTCACCCCATCTATTGATGCGGTTCCTCTTTCGGGTCGCAGGTGCTGATGTTAAATCTTAGACCCCGGTGCCCATCCTACCACCTGCCCCAGTTTGTCTGCTGGTTTCCCCCCGGTTTGGGAGCTGTTTCTTTTGTGAGGGAGCAGTTCCATGCTGGTGATTCCCAAGTGCTCCCATGTCCTTCCCCGGCATTACTATATGCCCTTTGTCACTTTTAAATGCGGGATCCTCTGGCCTTTGCCTTTTGGGGCTACTTCCTTGCCGGGTCTCATCCCCCTGCCCTCCCCCCCACAAAGCCTAGTTCCCGGTCTCCTAGTGTCCAAAGGAGAGTTGGGTATTGTTAGTTCGGTACTCCGGGACCGGAACCTCACTCCACTAGTTAGTAGGTGCTGGTGTTGGGCGGGGTGGGCGGCATTATGTCAGCAAGGTGATGGAATTAGTCTAGCACCTGTATGCAGTTGCCCTGGGAGACCAACTCCGTCTTCAGTGTCGCCACTTCGGTGCAGATGGCCTCGTGGATGGTCTCAGACAGCGTCTGTAGGTCCGTTTTCGTGACCATTGCTGTGGCGAGTGCTTTGAGGTTGGCACTAATATCCGCGAGCGTGGGTCGGTCCCTATCCGACCTGTCGGCCGCGTTGGGGCCTTGTATCTCGTGGCTCAGGGTCTGCGGTTTATGGAGGTATCCATCCATGAGTCCAGGAGTGGACGAGCCTGGATAGTTCCTCGGGGTCTGGTTAGTCTCTGGGCGTATGGTGCGGCCCATCTGTCACTGCTTTAGTCTTTG